GGTACTGGGGCTAGCATTTGGGGCTACTAATTCTCATTACTAACAACCCCTTCTCCTTTGCCAATCCTGAGCGTTAACCATACAATATTATTCGAAATTTCGAGGTCGAACGAAAATCTGAGTCCTTAGGAATGGCAACTCATGGGGGTATCAAGGGTGAAACAGTATACTCTGTTATGTCCATGCTACTGCTCATGTCTATAGGCGACTGTTACCACTTTCCATCAGGTGGGCCGTCAGCTTGTTTGCCATTCTAAGTAGTATAAAAAAAACGCAATATTTGATGTTAAAAGTACCTATATAATATATACCGTATTAAAATATCATTCCTTTGGACTTTTATGGTAGGATTTATGACAAACGAAATGTTAATCTCCATTAACATGGCCGATTTCGGAATGATCAAAAACGAAACTGGCGTGAATTTATTGGGTACAGAGGAATAACACCTGAGTCCTCAGGAATGGTAACGCATGGGGGGGGGGTATCATGGGCGAAACAGTATACTCTGTTATGTCCATGGTACTGCTCATGTCTATAGGTGACGTTTACCACTTTCCATCAGGTGATTTGCCATTAGCTTGTTTGCCATTCTAAGTTGCATAAAAAAAAAACGAAATTGAGTCCGAAAATCGGAATTTCATTTCATGGTAGACCCCTGGTTACCAGCTCTCAGACTATAATGCAGCGTCGCCACCGTTATTTTACGTCAAACAAACAATAAAATGAGCCATCTTTCATTTCTATTGTCAAAATGTCAAAGGGCAAACGCATTAACTTGTGTGTCAAATTGACAAATTTCGTCTAAGTATTTTGATATTCAAAATTCAATCTTATTTCCATTGCATTATGGACTAGAGATATAAAACCTTAATCTTTTAACGTAAATGTAATTGAATCGTATGTATTGGGTGTTAAAGTTCAAAATAGTATAACAAATTCTGTGGTCATTGCATGCAGAAATCTGGAAAGCTTGCTGATTTCTGTAGCAAGGGAATTTAGGCTTTATGTGGATTGATATAGATTATAATATTATTTGTATGTGTAAGTATGCTATTTTGAGATATGTTACATATAATAGATTTAGTGACGGGCACGCCCACTGCACCAGAACGAGATCGTGGGGTGACCAGTAATAATAAAGTAAAAATATAGTAGATTTAACGAAAAATAATAAAATCGACCGGTTAATGGGATCAATTTTGAGGTATCATTTCTCTTAATATATCTCTAAAATAAAAAAAAAACGCAGTGTAAGACGACCCCCTTTAGATGGGGGGAAAGGGGTTGTTAGCAATGGAGTTCGACAGCCCCTTAGCTAGCAATATACCCTATCAGGTCGACCTCTACGTGGTTCCCCTTGGAAACCATCGTGAACAATTCTTGTTGAATTCGTCACGATGGGCTAACTGGCCTGCTTCATCCTCACCTATCATCTTTAACTGGTGCCCCGCCGGTGTATACCGATAGTGCGGGTGGGGTTACCATTCCATTATCACTTATATAAAACAAAAGACCCCCATTAGATGGAGTGACGACCTCGAATGCATTGCAGGGAGTCAGTGGATGTAGGTGGCTCAGGACACTTCCTTATAGCAGTCTATGGGAGAGGCCTATGTCCAGCAGTGGATGGATAATGGCTGAAATGACGATGAAATGATGGCCGTCAGCTTGTTTGCCAATCTAAGTTGTATAAAAAAAAAAAAACTACATCAATAATTTAAGATTGCGTTTCACAGAAAAATCGACTTCAGTTGTAACAAAATCAGTTATTTTGATTCAGATTTTAAACTCCTGAACCGATTTTGATAAAATTTCTAAAAGACCTGTAGACCTACCATGAAACGATTTTCGAAATTTCGGGGACGAACGAAACAGAAATTTGATGTTAAAATTACATAATACATGCCGTTTAAAATTATTAAAAATGTTAAAATATCGTTCCTTTGGATTATTAGAATAGGATTTATGATGAGCGAAATGTTAAGCTCCATTTACTGGAACGATTTCGGTACGAACAAAAACACAAAATTGAGCCCGAAAATTCGGAATTTCATTTCATGGTAAACCACCTGATATATAATTGAAAATAATCATGGCATATGAAAAAAAAAGATTTTTCCAGATCGGTTTATTACTGATGGAGTTATTAGCTATATCTTATATATAAAATTCTCGTGTCGCGGTGTTTGTTACCAAACTCCTCCGAAACGGCTTTATTGGCCAACATCTATTTTTCATACCCCTCAATGATAAGGGTGACCCTCCCCAAAATATTTTTTTTTTAATTTTTTTAACAAATTTTTCCATTTTTATTTTATTATGATTTAGCATTGAGAAATACATACAACTTCAAATTGTCACCCTTTTACGATCAACCCCTGTATTTTAATCGCGATTTTTATATTTCGCAATAAGTGGTAAAACAACGTTTACGGGGTCAGCTAGTAAAAGATATAAAAAAGAAATATAACCGAATTGAGAAACGTCTTTTTTTTTTAAAGCGATTAAAAAATAATAACTAACGATAGTTGAATAAAATCCAAACGAATTAGCAACTTCTTTTAAAAGTCGTTAAACGAGTTTTAACTTCCAGCAGCAGTATTTCCGAACCGATACGACATCATAACCTTCAAGAAAAGAGCATATTCCTTTGTAAAAGGCCAGCAGCACACCTGCAATGCCGTTGGTGTTGTGGGTGATCATGGGCGGCGGTAGTCACTTACCATCAGGTGAGCCGCATGCTCGTTTGCCCCCTGTGTTGTAAAAAACTAAGAAATACGATGGATGTTATTCATAGGTCCAGTCACATAGTGCTGTGACTGTTGAGATCCGATTCGATTCTAGATTATCGATTCTCGATTTTCGTTTCTTTTTGATCTAATCAAAATTGTGTATTTTATCAATGCATTCAAAACAACTATAATTATATTGCCGTGTGTGTCCCGGCATAGAATGGGCCACCCCTTCCTTTCCCATGCGTGTCGTAAGAAGCGACTAAAGGAGAGCGAGGGATGGGCAGCAGCGTTCCTCTTAAAATATCTGTAAAAACCTAACTGCGGTTGCCAACCCGCCTGCCAAGCTTGGCAACTACTGGCAAAACTTCCCTTATGGGGAAAGCTTAAGTCCAACAGTGGGCAAGTTAACGGCTGAAATAAATGAATGAAATCAAAATAGCAGCCGTTTTAAGTTTAATTAAGAAATAGTTAAATAAAAGACCAAAGAAACCAGAACATATCACACGGCATTTAATCTCTTATTTTACAATATACATAATTAATTAGGCAATAATATCTTAAATATATAGTACACATCGATTTATATTGCAATGTGGACATGGATTGGTATGTATCAAGACTTTTTTGCAATGGCAACTTTAGATATGTTTAGCTTTTTCGTCAAGCAAGGTCGTCTTTTGCCCGCCAGATGTTGCGTAAGCGGGCGAGGTAGGAGCCTCGGGGTGTACCCCACTACCCCGGCTTTATTTTTTGATGGGTGAAAATGGTATGGTAACCCCGCCTGTACTAACGGGATACGCGGGCGGAGCACCAGTGAAGGGTGATAGATGAGAATGAAAACGGGCCAGTTAGCCCATCATGATGAATTCATCAGGAATTAACCATGATAGTTTCCAGGGGAACCGCGAGGAGGTCCACCTGGTTGCCACTACCCCGGCTTCAACTCCGGAGGCGACGACCTCCGGGCCACTGGGTTCTTCAGCCGGCATACACTGGTGGTCTGTGTATACTGGCGTAGTGTTTTAAAAAAGAAAATGTAGTTGTGATATAGGTAACTATAGTATGTTACTATCTAAACTAGATTAGGAAAAATAATCTGTTTAAATAAAACATAATGAAAAGTACCAGCAAAGATTTAGAAATAGAATATTCATAGAGTACAAGTAATGCGAGTTCTATTGAAATTTTCACATAGTAAACACTCGAAACGAAATTAGTAACAAATCGTAACATTCAGTCGATTAATCGATATATGAATTCTACTACTGTTGGACATCACTAAGAACAAGGAATTACATAGAAGGAAGGATAAAATAAAATCTGTGAATCATATGGCTGCCTCATTGCTTCTTATCCAAGTATAATTAGTAAAAAGAGGACGAAAGATACACCATCAGATGCTATTTTTCTTAGTTAATAGCAGGCTAGTGTATAGAAAATGTTTGATGTAACATTTATTTGTCAATAACAAATTTTACATTACTAGATTATATATTCGACACAGTTTATGTAGAAAGTATGCAAGCGGGTTGTATCTGAATTTGGTAGGGTTATACGGCCGTATAACATTTTCTGTACACTAGCCTGCTATGAATTGACAATTTTATCACTCCTTCTATGTAATTCCTTGTTCTTAGGGACATCAGCGACTGTTCTACAATCGATTCAAATCATCGTTTGTTAACGTTGTCATTAAGTTCTGTTGAAACAGAGTATATAGTAGATTTAAGTAGATAGAGAGTCTGTTTAGAAATGTTGCTTCGACAAAAACGTCCCAACTTTATTTAAAAATGGCGCGTATTGCAGAATATATAAAATTATCTTGTAATTGGTGTCTTAAGTTTTATATTACAAAATCTGTTATCTATTTATTATATTTAATACGAAACTTTCATGCTTTCATATAGTATGAATAAATAATACAGACAAATACGTTACTTAATTGTTGGCTTTGGCCTTATTCAATCTATGTTAGCTGAACTTAAACCAGAAATTTTTGAACATCTCTGTAAATTATTGATGCCCATTAATTCTTCTCTTTCCGCGTCTAGGGAAAGTAGATAAAGTTTTGTTTGAGAAATCAGTTCAGGGTACGATAGGACTGATATGCCTGAAGAAGGTAAAAGCCCTTAAAATAATATTAAAAAAAAAAACTGTTGGCTGTTTTTGGGACGTTTTTGACACTCGGCGTTACATCTAGATACGTATGATCTGAATTGAGATTTCTAGTAGATACAGTCATAAAAAAAAATAAAAGGCGGGTCAAGTTCAAATTGGTGCTATTGTTTATCTAAAATCAGAAACAATAACGTGTAGGATTATTCCAGGACAGTCCAGATTATCTTGATTATCTGGCAACACTAGATCTTTATATGCTCCATGATACTGGCAATATTTTTTTTTATTTCCATGTATTCTTGTCTTTAACATACCCATTCATGTCCATACCACGATCTCTAATCTAAAATCTAGTATGGTCCGTTGAAAACTAAAAAGACAACCTAAAATTAGCTAGGTCGGCCATTTTGATTCGTGAAATGTCTCATATTGGCGGCTTGGCTCATTGTTGCCAACCTAGCCGACATGCTCGCGTCGTAAATAGTGTTGCGACTCAACACCGGATTGAGTAAAATCGAGTCTCGATTATCCGGCGGATTTATTTTCGATGCACTTAGAAAGGCTGATGTTTGTGATTGTAATAGACTCCCCGGTAACGGCTGAGTTCTGTCTAGTCTGTATTGTAGTCCGTTTTGCTTCTCCATCTGGTGGTGTTGGGTTCGTACCGCGAATCGGTTCACGTGAACCGGTATGGGCACAACGATTTTCGTGCCGGATCCGTTTTTTCCGCCGGAGTGACTGCCGGACGCCAGGCCGGCCTTCACACGTTTCCATTTCGCTCTCCTATTTTGGAACCATATTTTGACCTGAAAAAAAACCAGACATGTAAGGCACCAAAATATTTAACCGTTTACCTATTATAAAGAGTTATGTTATACTATATCAACCGTTAACTGTCCACTGCTAAACATAGATCTTCTCCTATTGGTGGGTTTGCCAATAGAAGAAGGATGGAAGACGGGTTGGCAACCGCAGTTAGGCTTTTTAGTGATGTTTTAAGAGGGACGCTGCTGCCCATGTTTTTACCATAAAGTTTCTTTAGTCACCTCCTACGACAAAGGATGGGATAAGTCAGTGAAATTTCATGGTAGGGAGGTATAACACCATAGTTCTCAGGATGGAGCGTCATAGAGCTCTGTGACATCCACAGCGCTGTTCATGTCTATAGATAACAGTTACCAGAAATAGACTCAGAAATAATCTTAATATGCCGGGATGGAAGGGATTGTTAGTAATAGAGGCTAATAGTCCTATTGCTAGCAATATACCCTATCAGGTCGACCTCCTCGTGGTTTCCCCTGGAAGTCATCGTGATTAATTTATTTTTATATTCCTCATGGTGGGCTAACTGACCTGCTTCATCCTCACCTATCATCCCTCACTGGTACCCCGCCAGTGTATACTGTTAGCGCAGGCGGGGATGCTATTCCATTATCACTCACTAAAATCATGAGATGGGCTATATGCTTGTTTGCTACTTGTATCTTTTTTAAAGTTGAACGACCACAAATGATCGAACATCTTTGTGTTATAAAAAGATATTTAAAAAAGACCAGTCACCTGAACTTCACTAAGCTTCAAAGCCGACGCAATTTGGGATCTCTCTGTGAGGCTGAGGTATTTCTTCGCATGGAATTCCCTTTCCAGCTCCAGCAGTTGCTCGGATGTGAAGGCGGTTCTTCTTCGTCGAGCTTTGCTGGTCTCCCGCGGCGTGTCTGTGCTGGAGTCCTCGAGGTCGGGCTCAGAGTCGTTTCCTATATATATTAAGGGTTTAGTTATAGGATTTCTTATGCAGAGTTGGTTAGTTTGATTGGAGAAGGATAAAAGCTAATTTTTATCCTGGTCAGGGAACACGTGTAGCCTAACTTCAGGCTGTAGCTGAAAATCAGTGTTTTGCTTTTAAGCAAAACTATCACTGAGCTGTAGCCTATTTGGGTCACTGCGACACACTTGATGAAACATATTTCCATAATTTATCTATTGTTTTAAATTAAAAAAAAAGTGTAAATAATTTGATTGTATAAACTCATTTGTTAATTTATTTGTGTCATAAATGGCTCAAATAAAGTGTTTATCTATCTATCTATCCTGGTCGTGCGTACGATGTCGCTGGTAAAAGCTAGTTATTATTCTGTTTTCTCATTGTGATTATTTACTTTACTAATGTAATCTTTTGGAGGAAACAATAATGAGTATCTATCTATCTATCTATTATAGATGCGAAAGTTTGTGATGGTAGATGAATTAATGAATGTACGTTTGTTGCTCTTTATTTATTTATTTATTTAATACTTTATTGTACACATTAGTTATAAAAATATGACAGAGTTAAACAAAAGTACAAAGGCGAGCTTAACTCTGATAGAGTTTTCTTCCAGCAAACCCAAAGTGGAAAGGAGCATCAATATCAGCGGATACAGCAGTGTACAATTTTTAAATAGCCAAAATTAAATTAATTAGATTATATTATATAGTACAAATACACACATACATATACATAAATATATACCTACATCTATGCATAAACCTACATATACATACACATATACATACAATATACCTACACATATAGATAAATAAATATATGTTCATAGAGATAGAAGTAGTCTTTCAAGTAGTGTTCGTGTTTCTACGGTGAAGCAGTTGTTTTGCATGGCTGTGTTTCGGTGTGAAGGGTGGGATATGGTGGGTACAGAGGTATAACATCTGAGTCCTCAGGAATGGCATGGGGGGTATCATAGGCGAAACAGTATACTATGTTATGTTCATGGTACTGCTCATGTCTACAGGCGACGGTTACCGACAAAACAAAGGTCAGAAGGAAAAAAATATTAGAACGCTTGATACGACATGACGAACTCATGAACATTATAATAGAAGGTAAGATAGAAGGAAGGAGGGGAAGAGGGAGACCGAGGCACAGGTATATCAGGCAGATCAAGGAAGAAGTTGGTGTCGTGTCGTATCAAGAGGTGAAGAGACTAGCTGCACATCGTAGTGAGTGGCAAGAGCTCCACCGACAAGAGCGCAAGTCTTAAATAGGAAAGATAGACAAAACAAAAGCAAAAACCACTGGCCAGTATTATATGATGGTCATAGACTAAGCAGAGCTTGTATTATGAGTTGTGGATAAGTGGTAATAATGCAAGTAATCGCATATCTAGCCAAAAAGCAAATGCATCTTTCCTTTTAGGAAGGTTACCCTTAAAAAATGAGGGGTACCGTTTGATGTCGCGACACGATTTGGGTTGAACTGATATGCTTTTTTTGTCCTCGAATTGTGATTGTCATCAATAAGCGGAGTACAGCGAAATAAGGCCCTCAGGACGGAGCGGTCAATAAAAAACGATGGCCCCGTCCGCCGAGTCAGCGCCACGCCCGGCCCCTGTACTGGCCGGCTGCCACTTAATGACTGTGATTCCACTGAGTTTACTGAGTTTACCAGAGTTTTCTTTTCAACCGTCTTCTCAAAAACATGGAGGTTCTTAAATAAGTTGTATTTTTTTAATTTTTGTTACCTCATAATTCTGGCAGTTGCGAACCGTTTCGGGTAATTCTTTTTTTTACCTGAAAGGTGTTGCTTACAGATTGATTTCATAGAAATTTGATGAAAATCGCTTCAGTAGTTTAGTTAATAAAAAAACTGGTTTTGTCTCAATTGAGGTAGTTTTAATTTTATTTATTAAATTATTCTTTCTTTGTTAATTTAAAACAGTAAATTACAAAATTGCTTAACTATGGTCCCTATATGGGTCGAGCCAGTATATGAGGGACCTATTAAACACATATATAACTTATTTACACTTATTGTACCTTATATACTATATAAAATTATATAATTTTTATGCACTGTGAAACTATGTACAGACTTAACACCGGACGGTGTTCTCTACCAGTCAACCATTGGCCGAACAGAGAAATAAGTATGCGGCGCATTATTGAATAGAGGAAATATAAAATGTAATTTTCAATATAATACTTACTATAATACTTAGTTTTTGTTTCAGAAACATGTTTACCTGAAGGAGACTGTACAAAAGTCGACTGCTTGGGTACCTCTGTCCTATTCGTGTTTCTACCGTAAAGCAGTTGTGTTTGCATGGCTGTGTTTCAGTTTGAAGGGTGGGATATGGCAGTGACATTATAGGGTACAGGGTACAGAGAAATAACACCTTAGTGGTCAGGAATGGGAACGCTTGGGGAGTATCATGGGCGAAACAGTATACTCTGTTATGTCCATGGTACTGCTCATTTCTATAGGCGACGGTTACCACTTTCCATCAGGTGGGCCGGCAGCTTTTGTACAAAGTCTCCCTCTGATTTGAAACAGTAACTGTTAAGTTTTAGCAAAAAAAAAAAAAAAACAAGTTTTCGAATCATGCAGTAAATTAATAAAAAATGACGATTTACAAGTGCTTGTAAACAGTCTATTTGAATAACTAAGAATTTGAATTTAATGTGTATTGTATTTAAAGTAACTTCAAATATTTCTTAATACTTGTGTGTATGAATGAGTTTTAGTTGTATATGGCTAAACAATTTGGCATACATTTTTTTGTCAAGATGTTGGTTTCTTTTTAACCACTGAAATCTTTTTAGCCACTTTTCTTAGTCTTTAGCTTATGCAGTCTGGCAACATTTTAAAGTTTTTTAGTGGAACGACATTAGAATGGCAACTCAACTTGCGTTATCGGTATATTATTATGCTGACGGGGCACCAGTGAGCGATGATAGGTGAGAATGAAGTTAGGTTAGTTGACATATCATACTGAATTACTGTCCTTATACAACTGTATCGTTACATTTATTAATTGTCTCGCTTATTTCTTATATTGTATAATGCAAATAAAGTATACTCATTCATTCATTCAATTTTGAAGTTATAATTATATTTGTATCCATAAATCAAACTATAAATACAGACGCTCCGAGATTTTCATTCTCAGACTCTCAAGGTTTAGTTTGGTAGGTCAGCAACTCTATTAAACACACCACAATTCAACCAACGATTTTCTTCTCACATACGAAATAAAAATAAAAAACAAATAACCACGTCTAAATTTATAACACAAATTCAGTATTCGCGTGTGCAATTGTGCAATTTCCTCGAAAAAACAGCCATAAAGCCGATCCCTTTGGCAAATAAATACATTTATTTCTTATGGCCGCACCGCCAACGATTGACAGTTATCGAACGCGCCAAATGAATTGTAAAAACACGACAAACATTTCAATTGCAGACGGAAAAGTATCAAAATAGCTCTTATTTATATACCACTAAAGTTTACATTATTGAAAAGGGCGCTATTAAAAATTGTAAAGGCATAAAACTCAGTTCCCGCCATTCTGTCGCGATCTGAATTTTAAATTACGAATTTGGAACGCATTCGTAAATAGTGCGTCCAGTGGCGGCGGTGTTAAATCGATTGTAAATTTAAAATGCAGTTTCATTCCAATCGGATGTTTATCGGTAAATTTCGGTAAATAGACTCGAATGCATTGCGGTCACGTACCGAGTCGGTTTAAATTTTCACGTCGCATTATCGACGTATATTTCGTTGAATGCTAAGAGGTTCTAAATATGTTTAAAAAATATTATTATATTAAATACCGATAACGAGTCGAATGAATTCGAGTGACAGTAATGACTAGCTCACTGTCTCTTTAAATTCTAATGTGCGAAATATGCAAATAAGTCGAGTTAGATTTCTTTTTTAGTTAGTTATTATGTTCACCACAACGCACATCGTTGAGAAACACCTCTGACTATCCCATTAAGGATTATGATCGCGAGTGCATATATATATATATATATATATATATTGTTTATTTAAATTTTATACTTTAACAAAATTAAGTTTGACGTTTGTTTAATGTTTCATTTGGGCAAAAATCATCGTTTAGAATCTCAAAAAAAAAAAAAAGAAAAGCAGTGTGTGAACGAGGATTGTTGTAAAAAGATTATATTACTATTTGGAAAAAAATACAATCATTTTCCAAATTGAGAATTTCCTTCTTATTTGAAGTCGGTTGAAAAGTTATAACATTTTGCAACTAAATGTTAAATTACTACATATAAATGTAAAATTGAGAATGTAACAATCATGTAGATATACATTTTATATTGCATGAACTGTCAAATAAGTTTTCTTCAATCGAAAATATTGTTTTAAAGTTTAAAACAAACTGTATAAGAGAAATTATTTGAAACAGAAAAATATATTATCAGCTATTATTCTTGCTTGAAACTGTGCCAAGAAAAAAAAATGTTTACATGTTATTATTATTAGTTTAGAATTATTTTGTTTAATTCCGCTACCATTAGGTAGTATGTGTGTGATTCTTCTAGTGTTGGCAGTCGCACACATACTAATGTTAGCGGAATTAAACAAAATAATTCTAATGTAATAACCAGTGATGTGGACTTTCGCAAAATAACATCTAGCTTCGTAAAATGTTTAGAAAAATTTATTAGATACATAGATATATAGATTTATTTGCCAGATCATTGTTTTTACAGATATTGATTTATTGTGAAGTACAAATGTTCGCCTTATAGTCTAAAGCATGCAAAATCATTATTGCCTAGGTGTACCTAGCCAATAATGATTAGATGTAATGTAACTTGTAACTTACATTACATCTAATACCTACATATAAGTTACTTAACATTACATCAACTATTTATTCGATTAATAATAATAAAATTATAATAGTATGTTCTTTTTTAATGGGTGATAATGGAATGGCAACC